CCGCCCCGCCCCAGGCTGGCAGCCGCTGAGGCCAACTGGGATGGGCAGCTGGTCCTAGACGGGAACTTGGAGGCCTGACCACGGGCAGGTCGCTCCCTGTGCGGGCCCCAGGCCTGGAATGCCCGCTCGTGAAACTCTAGCTGGCCGACCTTTTGGGTGAAGTGCCGCCCGCCTGTGCCTTGGGGGCCCGGGATGGAGGGAGGGCGGCCTGGCGGGAAGTGACGGGACGCCCGTCGCGCTGTGGCTGTGTGCCCTTCACCCTGGCTCTGAGGCCGCCTCCCTCCCAGCTTCTCTTCACTCTGCCCTTCAGCATCTTCCCCGCCACGCACATTGCTGGGGTCAAATAATAGTGACAGCAGCAGGGACACCAGGCCGCCCTCCGCAGGTGGTCCCTCCCGCCAGGCTGCCTGCCCCTTTGCACCTTCTCAGTCTCCCAAGCGGAGCCCCTCACCCTCCCAGCCTCAGCCAGCCCCACACCACGCCCTGTGGCTCTCAGTCCCACACCATCTTGTGTGTTATGCACACGTGTGGTTGTGTTTATTTGTGTAGCGTCTAGAACAGCCGTGGGCAAACTACGGCCCGCGGGCCGGATCCGGCCTGTTTGAAATGAATAAAACTAAAAAAAAAAAAAAGACCGTACCCTTTTATGTAATGATGTTTACTTTGAATTTATATTAGTTCACACAAACACTCCATCCATGCTTTTGTTCCGGCCCTCCGGTCCAGTTTAAGAACCCATTGAGGCCCTCGAGTCAAAAAGTTTGCCCACCCCTGGTCTAGAATGTAGATGCCAAGGGGGTGGGCTAGGCCTGACATAGAAGGGGTGCTCAGATAATAGGCATGGAGCCCGGCCGGTGTTGCTCAGTGGTTGAGCGTCGAACTATGAACCAGGAGGTCACGGTTTGATTCCTGGTCAGGGCACATGCCCAGGTTGTGGGCTTGATCCCCAGTAGGGGGCGTGCAGGAGGCAGCCGATCCATGATCCTCTCTCATCATTGATGTTTCTCTTTCTCTCTCTTCCTCTCCCTTCCTCTCTGAAATCTGTGTGTGTGTGTGTGTGTGTGTGTGTAACAGAGGCATAAAATGAATGAGTGGATGAGGTAAGAGAGGCTCAGAGAGGGCAAGTTGCTTGTCCAAGGCCACACAGCTGGCAAGTGGTGGAAAGAGGCTTGGGATTCCATCGGCTTCGACTCCTGGAGACCTGGTGCCTGAGCTGCCATCCCCACCCCTCCCTGCCCCTTAGAGGCCCCCTTCCCTTGCTCCACACACCTGCACAGGGAGTACCTTAGCTCTGCTGTCAATCACACCCTTCCCTTACCCCCTACCCAGGTAGCATCACCCAGGGACACAAGATGGGGGTAGGAGTTGGGCTCAGAGGCCCAGCTCGCAGCCTTTCTCAAGCAGACAAACCTCAGAAAGAGAAGACAACCATGTCATCCATGGGAGGGTGGGTCCCAGCACGAACCTTGGAGAGCCTCCTCCCGCAGGCTCCTTCCCATCCTGCTCCCCTGCGCCCGGCAGCGTTTGAAGACGGGCCAGCCGGCTCTACCTGTCTTGCACATTTGGAATCTAGGTCATTCTGCTGCCCCCTCCCTCCTCTGAATGACAAGCAGGCTTTCTCTTAGGGTCTCAGAGCCAGAGAGAGGGGATGGGGGGGGGAATGTTTCAGTGGCACCCACACCCTGCCTGCTGCTGTCAGGCACACTTCATTTGGGAGCCACTGTAATTTATGAGATGCAAATGGATTTAGCATAAAAAAAAAAACACCTTGGAAAAGGTACAAAGTGCACCTCACACCCTTGCGCTCTCAGGCGTGTGAGGGGCTCCATTAATCATCTCAGACAAAAGAGATTTCATCTGAGGCTGGTGGCTGGGCCTGGCCTCTGGGGCGCGCGCTCCGCACTTGTGCTTAGGTCTCCTCCTCTGAGTCAGGCAGCAGATGAAATTACAGAGGTTCCTGCACAGGATGAATCAGAAAGCAGGATCAAGCCAAATATTTAGACAAGCCTTGCCCCGCGTGGGGCAGGAGGAGGCTTCGCAGCCAGCAAGCAGCCAGCCCGGAGATCGTTGGGGTTGTTTTTTTTGTGTGTTTTTTTTTCTTGACAAAGTGCCTCCTCGCACAAGGCAGGCTGCTGTGTGGAGAGAATCCGCTCCCATCCACAAGGCACCCTGCGGTCTGATCTCTGTGCCAGCGCCTGGGAAGGGGGCTCACAAGCACCCCAGGGCCCCGAGCAGGAATTCCGTCTGGCCCCCAGACGAAGGAGCCTGTCAGGGTGCAGCTCGCAGGGTGGGGGGCGGGGAGGGGGGAGGAGATGGCTCCCTGTGAGTCACCCCATCTGCCTTCCCTTTCTGGGAGTCGTTAGGGCGGCGGGCGAGCAGGGGATCACCCAGCCCGCCCACCACTCCTGCCTGGGCCCCGGTCTGTCCAGACGGGTGCAGACACCAGACCCCGTGGCCACAAAATGGGAAGGAGGTGCAGCCCTGTGCCCCGTGGCAAGGCTTACAGCTGCGATGCCGTTCACGAGGGGCCTAATTGCCACCCTCTGCAGCTTCAAAGCCAAGGGCTTTCAAGGCCGCTCGGAACAATAAAACCGGTAATGACAAGGCCACTTTAGGTTTGTCTGGAATCTCGCTTTTTTTTTTTTTTTTTTCCTTCAACGAGCTTTTGAAAGGGCTCAGCATTCTGGGGGTTATTTTAAGCCACCTTTCCCCCTCTGCAGGGATGCTCCCAGGAACCAAGTGAGGCGGCCTAGAAGAAAACAGACAGATCCCTGCAAGCACGCCGTGGATACTGGTGAATAACCGCTGTGGCTCCCAGACGCTGGGGGCTGACTCTGTGCGGCCACGGGAATGTCCTGCCTGAGCCTCGTGAGAGCCCTTGCAAGGCGGGTACTGTCACTTTCTCACTCTGCAGGTGAAGAGGCAGGCTGGGAGAGGTTATACGGCTTTTCCAGGACCCTACAGCTAGTAGGTTGCACATCCAGAAATTTCTATATATATTTTTATTGATTTCATCTGCAGGGATGCTCCCAGGAACCAAGTGAGGCGGCCTTGAAGAAAACAGACAGATCCCTGCAAGCATGCCGTGGATACTGGTGAATAACCGCAGTGGCTCCCAGACGCTGGGGGCTGACTCCGTGCGGCCACGGGAATGTCCTGCCTGAGCCTCTTGAGAGCCCTTGCAAGGTGGTACTGTCACTTTCTCACTCGGCAGATGAAGAAGCAGGCTTGGAGAGGTTATACGGCCTTTCTAGGACCGTACAGCTAGTAGGTTGCACATCCAGAAATTTATATATATATATATTTTTTTTTTTATTGATTTCCGATATGAAGAGAGAAAGAGAGAGAGAGAAACATCAATGATGAGAGGGAATCATGGATCGGCTGCCTCCTGCATGCCCCACACTGGGGATCGAACCCACAACCCAGTCATGTGCCCCTGACTGGGAATCGAATTGTGACCTCCTGGTTCATAGGTCATCGCTCAACCACTGAACCACGCCGCCCGGGCTGCACAGCCAGAATTTAAACCCAGGACACCCCCCAATTATATTCTGCCTCTCAGCAGCACCCTTGGTGCACAAAGCCAGTAGCAAAATGACCACGGGAACAAGTAAGTGCAGAGCCCTCTGAGAAGTGATCAGACCAGGCGACTGCCTCTGGGAGCCTGGCCGGCCCTAGAAGCCGGAAGCAAAGGCTGAGTGGGGGTGGCTGGCTTCCTCAGAGGCCAGACAGTCCTCCTCATGGGCTAGCCAGGGTCCGGCCACGTGGGCCAGCCCTGCTTGCTCGGAGACAAGACTCAGCAAAGATCCTCCCGGCCAGACACCCCCGGAGACACCAAGGCTGCTGAGCTTGCACGCGGAGCAGACCTGGCTTTGGAGGCACGGAGCCCCCGCGCCGGCCCG